ATATTGATTCATGAGCAAAATATCATCCCGGCAGCAACCAATCTTAATGCAACATCTTCCATGTGCCAAAGATTTGCTCAGCCCAGTTTTAGGGACACTTTTCAGAAATACCAATAGGGATATAGTTACGGTACGTTCCTTGGACTTTTAAGAATCGGCTGTAATGAAAATTGGGACTCAAGGGGAAGTACATATCAAATGGTATTAGATGCCATAGGGGAAAAACCAACTACATATCTCAAGGCCAAATTGCAAATGCAACTGGAGTCCCTACTGTCCACCTGGAAGCAGCAACAGCTATTTTTGAATTTTAATAGAAAAGGGGAAGAGACGTTCCCCAAATCCATGCTCATACTGCGGAAACTATGGAAGGCTGGTTGGTGGAGAGTTCCCTCTCTAAGGCCGGAGTCCCCAATTCCTGGGCTGCGGACCGAGACCGGTCCACGGCCTGTTAGAAACCGGGCCCCACAGCTGGAGGTGAGCAGCAAGCAAGCAAAACTGCACATGCGCGGGATCTAGGTTGCGTGCTCCTCCTCCCCCCCCCGCCACCCTGGTCCGTGGAAAAAGGGTCTTCTACAAAATCAGTCCCTGGTGCTAAAAAGGTTGGGGGACCCTTGTTCTAAGGCAGTGATGGCGAACCTTTTAGAGACCGAGTGCCCAAACTGCAACCCAAAACCCAGTTATGCATCATTGGGTGCCGGGTGGGTGTGGCCCATTGGGTGGGTGTGGCCCATTGGGTGGGCGTGGCTGCGGTGGTAAGGGCCGACTGGGTGGGACTAAAAAGTTCAATCAATCAATTCCAACTTTGCGAGATCTTTTTTTTTCCCCGCGAGAAGTTGAAATTGATTGAACCTTTTTTTTTTTTTGCACACGGCGGCGGAGGCTTAAAGCGAAAAAGTTTTATAAAACCCAGCTGAAGGCCTAGAACAGTGGTGGCGAACCTATGGCACATGTGCCAGAGGTGGCACTCAGAGCCCTCTCTGTGGGCACGCACGCCGTCGCCCCAGCAGAGTTCGCCAGAGTAGCGAGCACGTGGCGTTTGGAAACGATGGGGCAGGAAGTGAGTGAGCAAGCGGAATTGGCCCCCTGTGTATGCCCCGGAGATGGCAAGGGACTGGTCCCTGTCACCTTGGTCCCGGCCGACCCACCCCAGCCACACCCAGTCTGCCGTGACCACCGCAGCTGTGACCACCACAGCTATGCCCACACGGCGGCCATGCCCACCCAATGGGCCATGACCCCCCCACTCCTCCTGAGAACACCTCAATGCTGATATGGCCCTGGCACTTTGCAATAAATAAGTGGGTTTTGGGTTGCAGTTTGGGCACTCGGTCTCTAAAAGGTTCGCCATCACTGGCCTAGAACTAGGGCGACGGCGCGCGTGCCCACAGAGAGGGCTCTGAGTGCCGCCTCTGGCACCCGTGCCATAGGTTTGCCACCACTGCTCTATGGAATTTTTTCCAGAACAGTTTCAAAGGCTGGGCAATAAACAAAAAAACTGGTTTATTGTAGCTAAGTTAAAAGATGTAACCTGCTGTGATCGTTTTAGTCCTAACTAGGCAGGGATAAGAAGCAGGATGGAAGGCTTGGGCAACTTTCACTAAAAGGAGTAAGTTCTTTCGCTCCCTATTTTGGCTAGTGCAAAGAGCCAGGCAAACCTCATGGGGGAATGACAGCACGTTCCTAGTTGGAGCTGGGTGAGCAAGGAGATTGGGGGATTTTAATCCCAGCCATTTCCAAGCCGCGCTTGAAAAAGGAAGAATCCCTGGCTTTCAGGCCACACGGCTTCTCCCTCTCGGCTGGGGCTGGTTGGGACCTGGACGTAGTAGGAGAGATCCTTCAGCCCTGCTAGGTACTCTTGGGGAAGACCTGACCGAAAGCTTGGAACAGTTGGATGAGCAGGAAGAGTTCCTGGGGAGATGGGGTGAGACAGTGCAGCACACATACGGGGTTTCCGAATGGCGATGTCAACTCAACCGCCATTTTATGGCCCGAACGCTTTTATGTATCTGATTGTCCCAAACGTAACAGATTTTAGTTACACCGGCTGGAGAATTTTGGAGGCTACACATCTTGTAGCTGAAGTTGAGAAGCCCTGTTCTACATGAGTAGTAACCGCACCCTCCCCTTTGATTGGTGCCTTTTGATGACTAACGAGCAAGTCTTCCAAGTGGCGGTTGTACCTTAACCCCTTCGTTGTAGCTGTCCACAGGGTTGTTGAGGCTGGCGAGGCTGCCCAAGTGGCTGGGAGCTCCAGGGCGTGGTGGCTTTTTGGGCGGGGCAGCATGATCTAGGAAGAAAAGACGTTGGGTACGATAAGGCAGAGGCTGCGGGAGATGGGAAAGCTGAGCCCGAGGGAGGAGGGGGTCAAACGTGTCATCGGTCTTGAGTTCCTTCCCGCCCGCCAGAGAGCTCAGTCCAGCCCACCTTGAATTCCTTTGACTCTGATCTACCGCCAATTCGCTTTGACCCTTAGTAGTTCAGATTCTTGTAGAGAGCTTTAGTGTACAAATAAACACATACTGTGTACTCATTTGAACTGCCTGGACTCTTGATTTCCTGTGCGTGACAGAGACTCTGGGCATCAGATTCACTGAATCCCCAAGCAAGGGTTGTAGAAGAGAGTCAAGCTTCTTTGATGCCCACTTCCACATGGAACCATTAAGGCGGAAGGAAGGAAGGAAGGAAGGAAGGAAGGAAGGAAGGAAGGAAGGAAGGAAGGAAGGAGAGGAGGGAAGGGAAGGGAAGGAGGGAAGGAAAGAAGGAAGGAGGGAGGGAGGAAGGAAGGAAGGAAGGAAGGAAGGAGGGAAGGGAGGGAGGGAAGGGAAGGAAGGAAGGAGGGAAGGAAGGAGGGAGGAAGGAAGGAGGGAAGGAAGGAAGGAGGGAGGGAGGAAAGGGAGGAAGGCAGGAGGGAGGGAGGGAGGAAGGGTGCCTCCCTCTTCACCACCACTTCAAACTTATTTCCCCAAAAAGGGAAGGGAAGGGAAGGGAAGGGAAGGGAAGGAGGGAAGGAAAGAAGGAAGGAGGGAGGGAGGAAGGGAGGGAGGAAGGAGGGAAGAGAGGAAGGGAGGGAGGGAAGGGAAGGAGGGAGGGAAGGGAGGAAGAAAGGAAGGAGGGAGGGAAGGGAGGAAGAAAGGAAGGAAGGGAGAGAGGAAGGAGAGAAGGAGGGAAGGAAGGAGGGAGGAAGGAAGGA